GAATACTATACAAAGTATGAATAAAATCGAAATGCATTAGCATATATAAACATTATATAAAAAATCTTTTGTATAGATTTATTTATGACATTCTCTTTCACTTATTCCTTCGATGTTTTCTTTAAAGCCTTTAAGAATACTTCATCCGCTTGATTTTGTTGAATCTCCAATCTTTTGCTTTAGCTACCAAGCACCTCATTCGGTTTCCAATTGCTTTCCGTCGTTATTATTGAGGAGTCAAATTTTGATCCCTAAAAGCTACTTTAACTTGCTAGTGATTCTAACTTTAATGTGGGGTTGATCGAGTTGTACTGATATTTATTGATTCTTGTGGATCACTCGAATGAAGGAAAAAACTTTTTTTATTATGCACTATCTCTTAAACATCTCACACCGCTTGAATTAGATTAATGCATGTTTGAGCTTTAATGAGCATCGCTTCGCAGATTTCGAAGTTTTTAAGGTCTTTTCTTCATAAAATTTGTCCATCGATTTCTCGTTTACTTATTTGTCACTTCTAAACAAGTTCACATCACTTCTAATTTTTATTGATATTCTATTAAAAAATAAAACGAAAATCTACTCTCGATAAAATCGATCACCATTAGTAAGGATTTGACAACTATTATCTTCCACTAAATTTATTCGAAGGGTTTTTGAATATATATAGAGCTTCTTTACTAAATAAATAAGAAAATTGAGATACTCGGTTTCGTCGTTCTCTTAAGAGTTGAAAAGACAAAAGTTACTTGGCTTTGCTTGTCTTCTTAATAGTTATGCTTTATGCATCAAGCTGGTTATTAATATTCACTTGCTCTTTGCTCACACTTTTGAAGCATATGTAGTTTTTACATTCCTTGCGTTGAGTTAGTTAATATAATTCACCTCCTCATTGCTATCGAACTTCTAAACTACAAGAAATTTTACTCGAAATGAGCAAAATTTTACCCCGACTTGGAGCAAATCTTTAGTAGATTTGATTACCTCTAGGATTGTATCATCTTCTCCGTCATTTATGTCATCTACTTCTCTAAGTAGAAATGGTATAACATCACATATTGTCTACTCTATTTCTTAATCGAGCATTCCTACATTGACCTAAAGTCCCCCCACTTTTGACTACCTTGATGAGAAGTTCGTTAACACTGATCTTACGAAGTTCCTTAGCCCTTACCCTTTGGTCTTATCTGAAGTTTGCCTCTATATTCTTTACTTCATCGTTTTCCTTTCATGACCATATGCTCTCCCACCATGAGAGTAATAGACTGACTCCACGAAAGTCATGCCTCTATGGTACCATGATGCTACCATGTCCATAGCTCAACTATCTGTCATCTCGCATCTGCTTTACAATTTATAAATATGTCTCTATATTACTTTAACACTCCTTTGAGTTTAAATTCATCATAACTGATGCTTGGTTTTAGATAGCTAAATCCTTATGATTCACTGTGATCAAAATTCCTCACAAATGTCCACACGATACTACTATGAAACAAGATAGGGAATCAACCCTAAACATTGCCCCAAAGGCGTATTTAACTATGTGCCACCCAGGTAGCTCTACGATGTTATGTTGATTGACACTCTACGCTACTACGTATGCATCTCGTGCCGTCAAACTTCATGTATGCATCTCGTGCAGTCAAATTACGTTCAATAGGCTTCATCATGTTTGGCGGTCCAACTTGGGTCGTTGGCCGGAACTCAACCCAAGCCCAATCTAACAAAGATTGGGTCTGATTTGGACGTTCGTAATCATGAGTCGGGCAATCAAATCCAACCTAAGCTCGAGCACGTAGAGCCGACCTCAATCCGACCTAATCCCTTGCTAATTAATTCTTTGTTCAAATTAAGATGTTGGAAACTCCACCCTGATTGATTGTTCATCCTGAATCGGCTAAAGGAATCCAAATTCGGGATACAACTCAAACCTAATTTCTAATGATGGTTCATGAAAAATACTTGAGCAAAGATACACAAATTGTTTTCAAGCCGGATGTTAATATTTTATCACGGATGCATCTTTTCTGTTGATCTAATCTTCTGTTATTGAAGTCTCGTGAATTGGGTTCGTCTTCTTTGTATGTTTACCTTTTGTGAGTTACTGTCAAAAGTTAAACATCTTCTGCTCGCTAATGGTGAATAATGGCTTTTCAGATGAAATCCCCACCTTCTGTGCTCTCTCTGGTGGAGTTGATGAAATCATGCCTCATCTGTTCTCTGACTTCTCATTCTATGCATTTCTTTTTCGATACCCGAAATGACACATAAGAAAAATAAGCAAACACTGAAAAGATTATACTTAATTGTTCAAAAAAGGTTCGCCAGGAGCCGAGTGAATTCTCTGATTACTGGTACAACAGAAGTGAAAATCAACTTGATCAGAGAATATGTCACCTGAGTGAAAAAAATGGCACAGCAACACAAAGTTTGAATCCAACCTAACGCATGGTGCCATTGCTAGTGAGCATCGAGTCTTGCCGATTTAGCGCAGGAAGAGAATGAATGCACTTCTGCTGAAGTTGATGTTTGCAAAATGGAGGATTAGAAATCTCCAATTGGTAAGGTTGTGTGCTTCACTTCTGACCCTTGCTGATAAGTGTAGGTGTCACCGTAACAATTCCTATGAAGAAGAGTGTAGCTATTGATTGGAAATCATACAGGTCGGCCACCGATTTCAACTCACCGAGAGCTGTTCCTGCCTGCAGGATTCAAATAAGGTGATGAATACCTGCTTTGGTAGTTTCATAATGAAGTAGAGCAGAAGAAAACATTACCCGGACTGTCACATATGCAGCTGGGATGAGCCCGATAAGAGTAGCCAAGAAGAAGATAGAGTAGGGCACATCAACTATTGGAGAAGCCATGTTGATGAATGTGTTTGGCAATGTGGGTGTGACTCTGAGAAATAGAATGTAGTTTAACAACTTCTCTCTTCTTTTAGCAACCTGTCAATAGAGATACCTTGTCAACTGGGTTAAGATGCAAAGAAGATGCAGTAGAATGATGGAAAATGTGCAGGAAAAGGAAGAAAAAAACATATAGATGATAAATTTTGATCCTGATTTTTCAATTTAGCAACATCTAAAATTACAGTAAAAATGTGTCCAAATTTGTTGTGCTTGCCATGGGAAATCATAGTTTAATAAGGCCAAAGCTATAATTTTAACGAAATTGTCATAGGACAAATTGGGGTATCTCTCTTTTCTTGCTTTTGGCATGTCATGTTTTTAACCTCTTAAAGCAGTTTTCTTAAAGTAAGCACATGATGAAACAGAGGACATATCAATATGAACCACTTAGATTATTTTGCTGCAGATAGACCAAGTATCTCAAACTCTTGTTAGAAGGGCACAAGCAACAATGTATTAGCTGAATCCTTGCAGCAGATTGGCCAACGTAGAACAGCTACTACCCAGAATTGTCAATAGGTTAACACTTGTTGAAGTTACAAGTACTACGAAATTTATGTCCTGTAACCATAAGCAACATTCAACATAGAACAGCTGCTAACCAGAATTGTCAATAGGCAAAACCTTGTCGAAGTTAAGTACTACGAAATTTATATCCTGTAACCGTAAGCAACATTCAACTTGATGAAATCTAAATTTGATATCCCAGTTAACGTACAGGGTTGTCATAAAACTATTGGTGGAGAAATGTATTTTACCTGAGCCTGGAAGAAACTCAGCTTATCTGGCCACAATGAAAAGACCAGGGGCCTTCCTATTATTTTCGACAGGAAATAACAGGAAGATGCACCAGCTGTTGCAGCAAGAATCACCAAAACCATACCACCAGCAATTCCAAAGAGGGCTCCAGCTAGTATTGACATAAACACAGTTCCTGGGATCATGAAAGTCTGCATAAAAATGTATACCGTGAAGTAGCATATCAGGACCTGCACAGTGTAGTCATTGGTGTAGCTTTCCAGATTATCCCTGCACATAGTTTTAAATTTTTATTGTCCATATTGGCTCACGAAAAATTTCAACATTTGTTTCAGAAAATAAGTAAGATGAATTACACTGTAAACAATAATTTCATTGTATTAAACCTAAGATTTAATCAAACTTAAAGAAAAAATATGGAAAATAATCTAACAAAGGCATAATGACTATAGGATTCTAAGCTGTTGGTAACTACAGCTAATGAACTAAAGTGAAACAGCATCAGATGACTGCTAACATGAAGTGTTTCAACATCAAAGTTAACGATCTACTATCAAATTTCAAGCTGTTAGGATCAAATCGCATCATGTAAAAGAAACTAGAAAGCTGATGTTGTAGAAAAGTAATCAAATGGTTAAATGATGGATGGCACACCCACACCATCCTCACTCATGCATATACTAATGGTAAACATGACATAAGTCGGTGTGACCAAAGCAAAATCCATTGCATCTGACTTCAGATAAATTCATTGTTGAATGATGAGGTCAGTTTTCTAGCATTTATGCTGCAGATGGGAAATATTTTGAGGGCGATATATGGAAAATTTCAAGCTTACGAACCATCAAGTTCGGCATATGTACATTCATTTGCAGAACAAAGATTCATGAGTGGTCTACCATGGAATTTAGACACCCACAAATGAGTATCATCTGCTTTTAGCACTTCTCTGTGACCATTCGGCTGCCATGTGAATCGTATGTACTAATATTACATCAATTTTCTCAAGAATCATGAATAGAACAAGTGTTAATTCAAGTTATTTCAAGAACTTTGAAATGCTCTTGGAATCAAAATGCCAAGCAAACAAGAAAATGACCTTCTGGGTCTCCCCCTTTTCTAAAGCTCACCAATAAAATCTTCAAATGTTTCCCAAGACAAACTAATGAGTGCAACCATAAAATTCTTCAGTCTAAGAGTTGCAGGGAAGTTTAAGATCTCATTGATGTTTTATTGCCAAGCAATTTCTTGAAGTACCCAAAATCATTTCCTCAAAAAATAATTCCTGAAAATAATCTAATACTTCTTTTTTAGAAAAAAAAAGGGGGTCCTTTTGGTAATGCACGTGTCTGATTACAATGGTAAAAAAGATCAAAGGAATGAAATAAACCAGGAAGTAAGCTCTATCACATAATAAAATAGCCATATTGTGTAAATTCACTACTCGGAATAAGAAATATTACAAAGCTCTTTCAGGGATTTTTTTTTTCCACAATGCATCCTATCCTGTTTTCTTGGCAAATTTATAATGCGTGAGAAGCTTATTCATGAAATCAAAATGGCAACAACATCAATGGTTCTTCATATAGATGCAGATCCCCATTGAGAAACACCATCAATTAAGTTCCATTGCACATAAAACAAAAAACAAATATTCCATTACCCGTTTCCAGATTCGCACATGGTACAACAATATTATATTCTATGAAACTAATCGGAAAAAACATGAGATCTACGAGATCTCATAGGTACTGTTCCATTCCCTTCATCATCAAGATCTAATTTGCAGAAGCAAAAGATAACTCCAAAACAGAACCAAATCAATCTAAACCCTAAATCAGCAAAACGGCCCAAAGAAACCCTCCGAAAGCACAATCCCAGAAGCTGCAAACTTCAAACCAAAGGCGGAATCTTGACGGCGAGGACAAGCGAATAGGTGTTCAAACCTGAGGATCCGGATGTCTTCGAGGGTGCGAGGAAGCTTAAGGAAGCTGTAGTCGGAGGCCGGCATCGAGAGGTAGAGCCCCGCGAGCCCCACTCCGAAGATCGCGAACACCACCGTTGCCGCAGCCAGATCACGCCGAGACAACGGCAAACTCCGGCCGCCTTCCATCCCCTCGCCTTTCCCCCAAACACTGCGGCCCAGATTACAGGCCGAAGCTTCCTCCTTTTACTCTTCTTCTTTCCTTCTCCGTTTCCTTCGTTCGTTCTTCGAAGGGCGCGAGAGAGAGAGAGGAGAGAGAGAGAGAGAGAGAGAAGGTGGGTGGTCAATAAATAGGATGCTCTGCAGGAGCAGAGGAACGGTTGGGGAATATTCTCGATCACGTGGCCGGGCTCCAAACAGAAACGACTGAATCATTTGCTCATGTGACCGTTACGGCTACGCCCAATTCCAGCCTACCTGTCTTGATCGAGACACCAATCAGGGAACCGTCTCGTTCGGGTGCCGCGGGTACCGATCGAATTTCCCTGTTTGGTGTTCTGGGAAAAGCAGAAAAGAAAATTTAGAAATTCTCCAAAAAAAAAAAGAAAGGTGAATTACACTGTTTTGTAAAATCCGGCTATTATTTTTTTTCCTTAAAACTTTACCAAATCTTCTTTTATAATTTCCAAGTGATTTTTGGCTCAAAATGATTGTAAATTTACCTTAAGGTTATAAAAAATATATATAATTTAGCTTTTAAGGATCGAAATAAATAAAAAAAATTATTATTATTTTAAAAATAAAAATATAAAAGTGGTCATTTAAACATTCATAAGTCATTTGTGATTTTTTTTATTTTAAAATTTATCTAAAAAAGTTAGTGATGAATTATAATAGTTACCAAAAATAGTGAACTCCTCGTAACAACAAAAAATATTTTCTAATAATATTCAAGTGATTTTTGACCTGAAATCACCTCAAATTGGATAAGTTTTACAAATAACATAATTTCAAGCTTTTAAAGGCTGAAGTAAATAAAAATACTTATTTTAAAGACTTTAAAATAAAAATAATAATAATAATCAAGATTTACTTTATTAGTGCTTGCATGCTTATTCTCTGCAACAGCAAATAGACAGTCAAGGAGAACAGAATCCACATTCCAACTGCAGATACTTCAATAGAGACGAACAAGTTGATAAACTCGTATGTATCGTCTTAAGTAGACATTTCTACATTTTAGCTGTCAAAATTTACAGTAAATATCATGATGTTAACACTTGATCAAAGGTTCTGTAGTACGGTATCACACCATGCAGCCATGTCCACATGAAGCAAGGTTTGGTAATGCAATGTGGGGAATTTGGAGTTCCTCGGCTAAGGTGGAGCTTAATTCTGGCATATAAGGGAGACTGGATCGGTGAGCTTGAAACATTCAAACAGGCATGAGGATCGGTTCATCGTGACCTCACTTTAGCAGCAGCTTCCTTGATTTGCTCGATTGTGAAAACACCGAAGAAATCATCATCCATAAGTGCATTGATCACTGCATATGCAACATCGTCGACACTCACGGGGGGTGCCAAAAGGAGATCGGACGCCGGGAGTGATTTCAAAGGCCTTGTAAAATTCTCAGCGGCAAGCAGTAGCCTTTCCAGTGGTTCACCTATTAGATCAAGTGGGATCTCATAACCATCGACCTTTCTCTTACCATAGATGAATCCAGGTCTCAACACAACACCTGTTGAAGCATGTGCTGACTTATTAGGATAAATTGGATGGTACGAGTACATGCTGAGGTAAAATGTTAACCTGATCTTGGGTACTTGGAGAGGACCTCAGATTCTGCTTTTCTCTTCCCGATGAAATACCCCGAAGAAAGAAGGAAAGAGGGGAGATTGTAGTCATGGACAGATATCAGGATGAACTTAGGGACACCTACATTTGATAGGACAGGAAACTTATCAGGGAGAGGAACACAGCATATAACATAATTTCATGTTATGAATAAAAATTTGAATGAACTATATAAAGAATGATTTTAGACTTGCCAACATAATCCAATTCTCACATGGGAACTCATGACATGAGCTAACGAAGATACTTCATTTAAAGGGAACAACTATTTGCTCTTATGCACAAGGCATTTTTACTATAATAGGTAATATGCTATAGGTTTTCACATTTCACTCATGGAAAAAATTACTAAATCTTTAATTTCTGTTGTCAGTTATTTTCACTTTTGATATTCTTCATTAAGTCTACCATACTCCTGTTCATTAGTTTGTACTTCGTTTAGTTTCCTATCTAACCCTCCTCTTCACATTTTTACTTAAGCTCTCCTCTTTTCTTCTATAAACTTGATACAAAACAGCTGCCTGGTGTGCCTTCATAGTGAAGGTATCAAGCAGCCAATTCAAAAAGGTGCTCAGTAGAAACAAAAGTATGCTCAGAAACTTACTCCCACTTTGCTCTTGTTCCCTCTTGAGAAGTTTGTGTTTAATATTCCACATACTTATGCTTTTGCATGTTCAGATGGTCTTTTATTAATTGCCAATATAATCACAGAAACACATCACAAGTAATCAACTTGAGTGATTTATTACCTCATACACATTTTTGACACAAATTCTAAGATTTATCCGATCTGTAAGATGCAATCTAGAACATAATGTGACTAGTGTTACAACAACCAACTCTTACTGAACAAATCGTAAAATATCCTCAATAACAATAGTCATAAGACATAGATCCTACGAACGATACACCAAAAAGGCTTACTTACTATTTAAGGTTCATAATAGCTAGATATTACTATGGTTATCCTGTGCATAATAAGCAGAACAGCCAACTGGAGACAGTCTTAAGGCCAAAGTAGCCACTCTACGAGGTATTCTATTAAATGAAAAATGGCTAGTATGATGAAATAACAGACCTCAGATTCACAAAGGCAAACTCGCTTTAACTATATGAAACATGCAAGGATGGAAGCCAAATATTCATTACTAATCACCACATGGTAATTATCTCTGTCTAACTTGTCAAGAGATGATAATACATTCCACCATTAGGAGAGAGTTGGCATTGTTTGGTAATTAGTACCATGATTCTGATTTCAATAATTAAATAATTTTCATATTTGGCATAAATATCTGACCTGAGAAAAGACTTAATAAGCATCCGTCTAGAAACCTCAATGATAAAGCAACGATAAGTTCAAAGGCTCAACGGCAGAGCATAGTCAATGATTTATCAGCTTTAAATAACAACGCTTACCAAAATCCTTTGCAGCACCTACTGCTAAGATATTAGCTTCACCATTTATCCTCTTCATCTGTTCCTCATTTCCAAACCCTCCAAGGGTTGATACAACAGCTGTTGCCCCAACCAACACCTCCTCCCACATTAAATAAAAAACATCACCTGCATTAAACAGAGATATTCATTTTACTGAAATTTCTTAAATATATACTAAAAGCTTATCATCATTTGAGCCTTTTTCCATCAACATGGGCTTGGATTCAAAACACAACTCAACATGGAGAAGGCTTAGCAACCTGAAAATGACTTATTGAAAATTTACACACTAGAGTAATTAGTTAAGATCTAAAAGGTTAGTTAGTTAGTGGGAAAATCTACCTTTTCATCCTGATCTTGTGCAAAAAAGTAGAACCCCACCATTCCCATGTATATAAAGAAGATTAGGAGCAGGTATGGTATTCTGTCATGAACTTTTCAAGCTTTCTGAAGAAGAATGTGTAATATGGACATTATCTTACCCGAAATAGGCCAAATCTACAAAATTAAAGGACATTATTAAATTAAATCCCAAATTTGGTGTGTTCTAGGTTACCTATAGGGATGAGAATAGGTCAGGTAAGGTTTTCAGGTTAAATGGGATATAGTAAGGGCAAATCATCAGTGGTTTAACTTGCTGTGACCAGGAAACAAGCCATATAACTTGCGGGTCTGGTCCACTCAAGTCAAAAAGTCATGGTGTGCTTTAAAATGTTCTTTTACATTAAAAAATTTGGTTGGTCGGCGGGTTAGGTCAAGCGTATTTCCCCATTTAATTGTATGATTCAACCTGACCCAAAATGGCTCACCGAGGGTCGAGATCTTTTGATCTCTAGTGAACCCAACGGGTCATCTTAAAAGGGTCAGGTTGGGTTGACATGATGGGTTTTAGGTCAAGATTCGACCCCTGATCATCTATTTTGATGATTTGTGCTGCAAAAGTAACACAAAATGGCACAAGGATCCTGCTTCGCCCAACCGACAGTTTCAAACCTCAAACTATAAACTTGACCTTCATTTCTCAGCACTCTAGTCTTTTACAAAGAAACAACATGCTCGTGGTAGTAATATGCTGTCTAATACCACTATATCTCATCCATTCACTCTTTACTATCCTTTAGTGTACAGTCTGTTTTAACCACTCAACCTAAGCCTCTTCAGAAACTTTTGGCTGACTTCTTAACTTGTATATACAGGTATTCCAATATATATATATATATATAAGGTCTTGCATACCGAAGTGTACCATCCATACCGGGCAGTACGTACCGGTTCGACAAGTTACCGGTACGTAGACCGTCGGGTACCGCTACAGTGCTACAGTACTATACTGTAGTATTGCTACAGTATAAAAAGTATAAAATTATTCGGTACACCAGGGTGTACCGCTCGGAACACCGGTACCGTATATATATAAATATATATATATATATTAATGCATTCATACAAATTAAAATCATTTGAAGTTTTAGAGCCCATAATATGTCCACTCTTGATTCTCCAAGAAACAACTCTAGAAGATTCTCTATAAGCAACAAATGAACAAATTTTTAACATGCATCTTTTGGAAGAATCAGACAATGTAAAACAAGCTAAAACATGGAGTAGAGGTATGCCTGCCATCCAGCTAACTTGGTCAACCCATGAGTCTGTGTAAGAAGGCCTTCCAGACCTAAAAAAAAAAATCCAAATCTTAGGTTGTGGTAGTATCTAGTAAGAAGAAAATTAGATTCATACTGCTAACGTTAGTTAATATGAATTACACGAAAAGCTTAACAAACAAAGTAAAACACCTCCAGTAATATGATAAACATTGAAGGACTGCATGCACCTGCTTACGCTGACCACTTCAATGCCCTTCAACACTGCAGCTTTGCAAATAGCAGAACCAACAAACCCGTTGCCCCCCAAGACAACAATCTGTTAAACAACAGGTAAGTGTAAAAACTACATGCAAAAGCAAGCATTGCTAGGGTATTTACCTTTTCAGTTTTCACATCTG